AATGGCACCATTTTATCCAGGTGTCCTTGGGAAGAAATGTCCCTGAGGAAGATTGGCACTTCAGCTTGAACAAACCACTTAGAGATTTCTCCTGGGTGAAGGAAATTCCTTGGGACTCTTGGTTATGCCTATGCTGAGCTCAAGGGGCTTCTCCTACAGAGATCTTTGGTAGGGGAACAGATGAGTGGCAGAAAGGCAGACAGATGAGGTCCCCAAATATAATAGCAAGTTGCAAGGCCAAAGAGTCAGCAGTTCAGTGTCATCTGTATGCTAGGTATCATCTGGCCTGCTTCTGCTACACTTGAAACACAGATACTGGTGAATTTTGATAATGAGGGGCCCTTTAAAAACCACATTTCCTGGCATTTATTTCAGGCTGAAAATAGTCAGTGTCTTTTCTTAGGTTGAGCTAATATCTCCACCTGTAAAAGCACATCATCAAATACCCAATATGTCCATGCTGGCTGGAGGGGAACCAGCTCTTGGTCCAGAACCAGCCAGCCACAGCAGTGCGAGCTGGAGTGAGTCCACCCTTCCTAACAGACTGGTCTCTTAGCACAACTTTTCAGTCTGAGGCATCTTATGGTTTATTTAACACTGTGGCTCCAGCCTGGAGGTGGCTTATTTGGGAAAATCATCAGGAGCAAATGCACAGTTGACTGTGTCTCAACACATAGTCCTGCCTCAATCGTGCCCTTATCACTATTAGCAGTCGATTTACCAGCCCTCCTGCAACCCTTTGGTGACTCCTCACAGTCCTCGTGCTGCAGCAAAATGTCTATTATTTTACAGGGAAACATGACAGGGTGATGTAATGAGCTGCCCAAAGAAGCACAAGCAGTGGGCCAGACTCAGGATGGAGCAGCAGAGCTCGTAGTGCTTTGTCCTATGCTCAGAACATAAAATCTCCACGTTACCCAGCTATGATTCAAACCAACTGTCCCAATTCGGTAATGGGGCTGGGAGAGATGGAGACATGTATCCTACAACACGTCCTCTCTTCCGCAGGCTGAGTGTGGTCTGATCTGCCAACCCAGATGGTTCCTATCAGTAGACATCTCACAGCACAGTACTGAGGGTAATGACTGTACGTATCACATCATCTCTGCTTTCTTTCCTGAAAGGCAGTGAAAGCCAGCTTAAACTACCTGTCATTTTCTTTGTACTCTGTAGCCAGGACAGTCTCTCATTTTGTGCTCTGGAAGCAGCAGACACGAGGATGCTGGAGTGCATTCTTATTGCCTAATGCCAGCATGCCGCATTTAGTAGTTAGCAACGGTTCCCCCATGAGAAACATCACAGTAGCTACTCTCTGAAGGTGAATGATGTCTCACTAGACAGCAACTGGCATTAGTGGAAGCTCTCTGCCCGCAGAGATGCAGGCAGGAATCCGAGGAATTTCCAGAGTACTCAACCACATACCCAGCCGTGCTGAGAGCATCATCACGGCGTCTTGGGCTGAAACCTGTACTTCCTACATATGAAGCCAGTGGGTTTCAGGCTCTGCTTTGAATTAATCTTTCTTCAGAAAAATCTTTAAGAACGAGACTCAGAGCTAAACTGAGAGCTATAGATGATCCATGCTGCTTCCAAGCCTGCTACTTGAGTCTCCTGTTACTGGAGGCTCCCAAGGATGCTTGTAAACATGTCAAATACCATGGCTGCTTTAAATGGAGAAACTGAACAGAAATTCAACAATGGTCATGTCGCCAGTAGGTCTGGTGCTTAGGGACTTCGTCTTAACAGGCCTAGCGATGGAGCAGGAATTCATTTGCTCCTTGGAAGGGTTAAGTTCTTCGTTGTCACGCTAATTATTCTCGGTAGGTCAGTCACAACCACCTCACCTGGCTGCAAACTCACAGACTGCCCAGCCAGGAGCCTCTTTGAAAAGTGTAACTTTTAACATCTCTTAGCAAAGCAAGCGCTCTGTTTGTCTTGGCAGGGAAGACCTGTGTATACACAGCTGGAGAGCTTGTTTTGTCTCTTAGTACAAGTCTGGACTAAACCAAATCTCTAAAGGCTTTGTAAAAATGCTCTCTGTATTTAAAGAATTTTATACATTACAAGATGTCTCCAAAGTCTGCCCCTGCTCAGACCCCTTCTTTCCCTGCCTCTTCCACTCTCTCTCCTACCCCCTCCACTACCACGCACAGAGTCAGGACGGTTGGATTTTTCAGTCCCTCCTGGCATCGCTGTATCCAGAAGTTTCTATAAGAAATTTCCAGCTTTCTTTTCAAACACAGCCAATGTCCGTATCGATTTATGAATCTCAATACTTCAGATCCCCGTGAGCTAGAAAATAAGAAAGCAGCTCTACAGACACAGTTCTGGAGCGCGGGTTTAGGGTTTTAGGGGAAGGAATCTTGCAAGGTAGAGCCTTCAAAAGAGAAAGGCTGTTATCATAACACCTTTCCACAACTAAAGCAATGGATATCTGCATGTGCATGTGTGTGTCTTACAAAAAGGCAGGCAGAGGGCTTAAAGAATATATAACTGCAGTGCTCGACCAATATCTGTGTTTGCAGGAGAGTACAAAGAAGGAGACTGGAACAATGAAAGGTACTTCAGCAAATGTGTGTGGAGGCTTTTAAAGAGCTTTCCCTTCTCTGCAGCCAATAAATGTGAGGCTCAAACCACAGCAGAGGCCTTTTATGGGGCACCTGCACCATTAGGTTCAGTAGATACTTTTGCAACCCAGGGAACATTGCACAACTACATTCAGTTCTGCGTATTTCTGCTGGCCGCTGTTCAAGCAGGGCTGACTGATGCCTGGGCTACCGGAAACCAACTGTTATTCCTATCTCACCCTCTAAATTACATTGCCAAGAATCCCCAATTTGGAAAAAAACATGAAAGGCAAGAACAGTCCAATCCTTGGACATGGAGTTAAACAGAATTAGCCCAATCTCAGGAAAATGAGAGGCTAGAAAAGCAGAATCTTTCCAGGGTGTTTTGATCTTAATCCTGGGAGTTTGCACCTTGGCTTGGTGTTTCAGTTTCATTTCTGCTCTGTGCCACTCTGCCCCTTGCCAAAAATCATATCAGAGCAGTGTCGTGAGATGTCCATCTAAGCCAACAGGAAAGGGAGAAATTTTGTGTCTCGGCCAAAACCTCAGTCATACCCACACTGCCCAAATGTAAATCTGATGTAGGCACTCAGCACACGCTGCCTGGATGAAATACAGCAAAGCCACATGTCACTAAGAGCCATACTCTTAGCTGGTGAAAACTGTGGTTCTTAGTGGAGCTGTTTCGATTCATACTGGATGAGCAGCTGGCATCGAGCCGCGTGAGGTTTACAATAAACCAGAGTTGGCTTATGTTTCCCTTCGAAACATTTTTACTAAAATAAGGTTCTTCCATGGAAAACCTTATGTTCTGGTCACAATTTTCAAGGTTTTTCAAGTAAATATAGTACTAAACCATAAAAATAATTTTGCAAAGGTTGGAATAATGACTTTTGGGGTTTCAGGTCCAAGTTCATTTGAAAATTATTGGCTGTTAGCACTGGTGACATCACTAGTTTTAATTTTTGATGGTACATGGTATTGACCTTCTTCACACAAAAGTAACTGTCTCCTGAAGCACACAGGACAGGTCAAATTCGGGCAATTAACTGAGTTGCTGCAGGAATTTGATTCTATATAATGAGAGAGGCAGGAGGCTGCATAAGTGGTCTTACTGATAGGGGAGCTGAGTGCTCGCCCGGTGAACTGCCGTCTACCGTGTCTGACGGAGTTCCTGTGCGAGCTGGCCAAGTCCTTAAACCAGCATTTTGCACGTGGTCCCTAACTGCGTGTGGTCCCTAACTCCTTAGACATCGCTCCTCTGCAAGAGCTGCAGCGAGTCGTACTTGCGGTGCTGAGCAGGATCAGTGAACGCTGAGAGTCCTGCAAGTCCAGCTCGGGGTAACTCAAGGTGGGCACCAAAATTAGCTGCCTGTATTGGGTCTGACTGGGATGGAGTCAACTTTCCTCACCGTGGTGCTGTGTTTTGGTTTTGTAGCTAAAACAGTGTGGATAACACCCCCGTGTTTCGGCTGTTGCTGAACAGTGCTTGCACAGTGTCAAGGCTTGCTCTCCAGCCCCGGTCCGGTAGTCTGGGGCTGGGCAAGAGGCTGGGAGGGTACACAGCTGGGACAAGTGACCCAGCCTGACCAAAGGGTTATTCCACGCCATATGACATCATGTTCAGCAATAAAACCTCAGGGAAAGAAGGAGGAAGGGGGGATATAAGATGATTACGGTGTTTGTCTTTCCAAGCCACCATTACAGGTGCTGAGGTCCTGTTTCCCAGGAATTGGCTGGACGTCTGCCCGCCGATGGGAAGTAGTGAATCAATTCCTTATTTGCTACCGCACACAGCTTTTGTTTTCCTTATTAAACTGACATTATCTCAACCCGTGAGTCTTTTTGCCTTCCATCTGTCTTCTACCCATGCCAAAGGAGAGGGGAGTGAGCGAGATGTAGGATGGGTGTTTGGCTGCTGGCTGGGGTCAACCCACCACGCTGGCACGTTTGAAAATTTTGGCTTACGTTTCTTTTCCCTTCGCTCTTAGTGTTTAAGAAGGGACTGATGGTGTCACTTTCCCTTCATGAGGATGCTGTGGTAAGGGGCTTCCTGGCGTTTCTAAGCCACTCCCAGGTTATCAAGACAAGAAACGGGGAAATGCCCAAGAGAAAAATACCCTTTTTGTACTCAGCACAGGGGTTTATTGATGTTTAACAAACAGCTACAAGGGGCCACATGTGGAGTGAGGAGGATCCAGAGACATCGAGCAGCCGTTGCAGTCAGTAGGCACTTTGCATCCTGCACGTGTAATAGCCAAGGATGTCAGAGAGTGCTTTGGGCATGAGGTTGTCGTTACAGCCTGTATCATCAGGCAGAGGAATCGAGCGGAAATTCGCATGAAATTGAGTATCTTTAATACACACGCTTAAATATACAACTCCTGATGCTATGTTCTGTCAGTGATAATATCATGAAAACGTGTTCCTTACCTCTCTCACACTGGGGACCGGTGAATCCATAGACGCAAGCACAACGGTTCGGTCCAATGCATCGACCTCCATTCTGACAGCCGTTTTCACAGACAGCTGTTTTGAAATAGAAAGAGAAATCAGTGATTTTTGCTCTTAGTGAAACCACAGTGTGAGACATGCGGTGCTGGCAGGACTTGGAATATCACCTACTTCATGTTGTTCACCCGTCAGGAGTCTTCTCCACGCAGTAAACATACAGAGAAAAGTCTGATATTTTTTCCTGGAAAATTACTTCCTGTTTATGAATGAAGCCATTTATAAAAAGGCCATAAACTCTTATTTCACTTGAGAGGATTTCCTGCACTCTGGAATCTCAGTTCATTCAAGTCAGCATTGGGATTTAAATGTCAAGGTCAAGATGAACTGATACAAATGAGAAACTGCATAAAGGCAAACGTTTAACGTATGACAACAGTGAAATGTGAGGAGAGGAGACTTGTTTGCCATCTAATCCCACGTACCCAAAGCAAAGAAGAACCAGTCTGATCAGCACACACAAGTATTCATTGACTTAAAATTAGACCTGCTACCCTTAGCTGAAAACCTGCAGTCAATAGTCTAGGACTGAAGTCAAAGGAGTAGGTTGCCGATTAGGTCCTGGGCTGAGGCTAAGCTAATTGAACAGGATGTAGGGACACTTCTGCACATGACACGAGCAATTGCTAGTTGTGACAGATGCCATTGACCTATTAAAATCTCAGCAGCTGTAATGACTAATGAGAGGAGTACTGCTGTGACACTTCCTAAAGTTCCTATACAGAGCTTCACTCTTTGAGCTACTCAGTTGCCCAGCAACACCGGCGCATTGAAGACGAGAAGACTATAATCTCATGAAAGGTGAGGTCCGCAGCAATCTTGTATGATACCTCAGTGTGGCCCTCACTGGTCCAGTGCCAGGCTCTGAGCTGCAGAGAGGCCAGGTACCGCTGCATTTCACAGCCTTCAAAGGCTACACCCATCTTAGAGCCGAGGAAGCCAAAATCTGCTCTGCTGGGACACTGCCAGTGGGACTCTCCATTGTTCCCCGCCCTATCAGTGATGTCTTGCCAACAGCTGAACCATTATGAAAACTCTACTGAGGATATTATAGGTGGAGATGGTAGCGGCACATAATTAAGGTTGCCTAGTGTGTTCCATTATAAGCCCCAGTTTGCTGTTACTTATCATTTCCCCAAGCTTTAGCTGTTCAGAATGAAATTTTCCATATGGTGTGTCTGCCTTTAGTTGAACTTTTTGGAAAGTTTCAGCAAAAATGAATCAGTCATAGCTGAGGATAAGTTTAGGGGAAATACGGTGTTTTGCCCGTCTTTAAAAAAATTCTCATAGACTTTGCTGAGAACTTCAGTGATTCTCATATTGATACAAGGATTTGAAATTTGCCTGGAAAGTTCCATTTGATCAGAGATTCTTTCAAAACTATTGTGCATACTTGCTAACTAGACACTTACTAAAGATGGCACCTACATTGTTTGGTTCTCAGTTCTACAAGGTTCACGAGCAATGATTTAAAATTGCCAAATATCTTTCGTGGGAAACTTGGGGGAAAAATTAAATTTCTCCCTATGAAAAGTAGAGGTGCTTAGACAAAATAGAAAATCAAGTCATAAAACATTGTAAAATTTCTTTCAATGACTATATTGAGGTTTCCCTATAGAAAGTCAGTGTTGTCAAATAAACAGAACTAAAAATTGAACCCCCCCCAAAATGTAACCAGGCATAATTTATAATCGAAAAACGTTGGTTTGTTTGGGGTTTTTTTGTTTTTCTTCTTCTAATTGAAAGAAGACTTCATTTGAGCTAAAATGAAGCCCATTCCCAGAGAATATGCTGTTTATCTAAAACTACTTACAGAGAAATGATATCTCATTACATATATATTTATATATATTTTATATATATACATATATATTTTATATATATTTACAGTGAAATTATAGCTACTATATATATATATAGAGAGAGAGATACAGATATATATCTATACCCCCTAAGGAGAGCGGACTGAGATTCCAGTGGAGAGGAGAATATACTGATGACATCAAAGAGCACATCAGTGTGCGCAAGGTGACCTCTCTAGTCATGAGGCGGCATGAATCTAGCCTTGCCCTTCAGCTCACCGTGTAGACAGCAGGTGTTGCAGGTACTTACGCTGTCCACAGTATGTTCCAGTATAGCCTTTCTGGCAGAGGCAGGACTCCTCGTTGCAGCTCCCACCATTCATGCACCTCACATTGCAGGTTTGGACTGTGGAGAAGAGCAGGGAAATATGACACGGCGATGCAACAAACTGTGGCAGGAGGTGAACACCTCACATGTAATGGATGTTTGAAACTTTCTTGTCTCAGTGCAGAATCTAAGGGTGATGTTCAGCGTCCAGTTCCTTGAAGTTAAAAGGAGAGATTGCCGACTTCCCATGGTAGGGTATGAGCCCATGGTGTGGTTAAAGGCTTGCACTTTTACCGAGGTATAATTACCCCAGAGTTGCTTACAAAAGTAAATACCATCGTCTGTTCTTTATTCCCTAGACGTAAGACACATTTATTGTTCCTGTACCTGGTAGTATTGAACTGTTCAGATAGGGGAAAGCCATGAACGCGATGGGCGGTGTGAAACTAGGAGCAATTTACGGGATGTAATTCTTCAAGTCCACCTCGTACAGGGCAAAGTATCATTGTTCTCTTATGGCAAATAGTTTTTAGAGCAATCTAAATAGACGTCATTCCACAGAGACCAAAGGCACTCATCATTGTACCTCGTTAAGGAATCTACCCCGACTAAACATCTGCAGCTTTTGTCCTTTCTACAGGACGTCCTGCCATAGCTCATGTGACGAGCTATGCGAGCATAAGCGAGTAAGGGCGTATTTCCTGATATCTCCCTTTCTTTGATAACTCTGTCATTCTAAACAATTCTTTCTTTTAGGATACTACACTTTTCAAATATTTTCATACCCTTTTTATTATTCTTTTAGATTATTGCTCCATTTTAAAAACATGCTTTTTGCATTCTGGGCTGTCTAATCTTTAAAATGCCTTCGTATTAAAAGACCTATGAGATGTTTGGGGGGATAGAATTTCTTTGGTGGAGGAAAACCATCAACTTTTAAGATACTTCTCTTCCTTTTGCAATTACTGTGTGGCCTTATTGGTGAGATTCATTTAATACAAGAGGGTTTTTTTAAGAAATCTGAAAAGAAAAGCACGTATCATCTATTCTTTCTCTGTTAGAGTTCAGCTTTCACACTAGATTATGACACGCTGAATGTGACTAATGCACTGTAGGAAAACAATAGCAATAAATAAGAGTCAGGAAGTTTTATACTGATGTAGACATAAAGCTAGTATTGGCTTTAACTGTTTCATTACTATTCAATGTTTAAGGAATGTGGTATTAAAGTAGAAGAGCCCAAAAGGGGAGGTTTACTGCTAAACATTGAGTTACAAATACAGGTCAAACAGCTTTCATTCTTTACTGAAACGCCTGGAACAATGCATTCTTCCTTTGTAAGATGTGACAACTCAAATTGCAAGTGCCTGAGGTTATAGCAAGTTATGTGAAAACTGTTTTTCAGCATGTACACCACAGTTCATGTCTGCCAGGGATAGGAGGGGCCGTGACTTGGCAGCTTGAAGAAGGTGGGGCTGGAGAGTGCATATGTGAGTGGATGCTCAGCTGTGGCTTGTGTCTTCTCTGTGCATGCAACATCAGTTCCAAGCAGGGAAGAGTTGGGGCCAGTGCAAGTGAAATGTCTGTCCAAAAGGTAGTAGGACTCAGAAGTGTCCAATAGGGATAATTATATGGTTGACGCCTTGTTCATAGGAAGCCTGAAAGGAAGGAGGAGTGGAATGGGAAGTCTCAGAGCTCTGCACTCAGAATGCTCGGCACATGTGCTGTACATTTAATCCATGCATTGCTAGTGTGGTTTGAATTAGTCATGATGTCTACTATTCTTCCTATTGCTCTATGGCCAGAGATCAGGCCAAATTCAGATGAAAGCTTAATCATTAAGGAAACTAAGCTCAAGGCTTCAAAGCATTGCCCAGATTGTCAGACATGAGACCAGTCTCTCTGGGAAAAGGCACTGTTTCCAGCACATGCTTACCCTACACCCCTCGCTACAATTAATCAGCCCTGGGAAAGCAATTACATACAGCGAATCTGGGAGGGCTGCCCAGAGACAGAGGTAGCTAGGAAGCGTCTGTCTGTCAGAGCTGTCCATCTGTCAGACCTCTTCTCTACACAGCATCCTGAGCCTCACATTCAATGCATTCAGCAAGGGGTAAGGTTTAGTGAAGCTGAGAAATTTTGGGAGCTCAGGGTCTGGACATAAGAAGAGCCCTGATGCTCATCCAGAAACTTTCCAACTAATTGGCAAAGACTATTCCTGGACCTGCACAGAGCCGGTCCCATTTCTTACTTCTGCCATGATCCCAAAAGCCCTGAGGTCCCATCACCATCTGACTTATCTCCAAGGCTGGCGCTGTTAGAACCCCCTGCAGATCTGGAGTGCAGAAGAACATCTTTCAACCAAGAATTTAAAGGCCTGTTACGCTTTGTCAGGATTCTCCAGGGTAGCAGAGACCAAAGTTCTAGGAAAAAGAGAATGACAGCTCACCCTACTTAACTTTTCCCATGATTGGATTGGATTGGATTAGTTCTACAATTTATTTTAAAGGATCAGTGGCTGCAGCTGTTCTGCCAGCCATCAGTAGTGGAGTTTGCAGACAGGTTTTCTGTCTGCTTACTGACTACTACTATCTAAACAGCCACTTGCAAATTACTCCTAAAATACCTTTACTCCCCAAAGTAGGAAACCAAGCTTTTTGTTATGACAGAGAGAGGCAGAATGGCTTTTATTGCCTCTGGAATGCACAATTTGTCTGCTTTACCTCCCTGAAGCGTTCATGATAAATGCAGATGCAAACATCCCCACAATGAATGCCAGATTTGATGAAGCCCCTGCAGAGGAACCTACCCCCCTCGAGTGCATGCTGAAATCCACCCCAGGCTCAGGGGAATGCCAGGTCTGTGCCCAAATGTATATACTGCTTACAGCATTCCTTGCATTCCTCCATGATTGCTAACATATGGACCCTCGCTCCAGAAACTTTTGTCTCCAACACCTTCCTCTCAGCAAAGCACGGGGAAGGTCTGCGGAGCAGTGCACGCATCGGCTCTGGTGCCGAGCACTTGCTGGGGACATCTGCAGGGCTGTAGCACAACGTGGCACTTTGGAATCAGATTCTGGGAATTTCCTTCTTTGAGTCACACCCTGAATGTGGTTTTGAGGTTTGGGGGGGCTAGTTCTCTGGCCTTCAATCAGATGCCTGCAGGTCACTTTATTAACAATAGCTTGCCTGCAGATGGACAATAATGGAAAATAAATGTCTGGGTTGTCTCTAGCAATGGCCATCTGAGACCTTAAAAGACTCTATAAAATTCCATTGATTTCTGCATTTTACATAGGGCAGTAGCAAAATCAGCCTTCTTAAAACAATACCGTGCCACAGCTCTGTTTCTTTGCATGCAGGATTTTTTTTTTCTTTGGCTGGTGTGTTTGAGTAGTGTCGTCACGTATGGGTGGACTGCCTATATAGTCAGGTGCAAACGGTCACCCAGTACCGTTGCTCGCATTTGGAGATCTGGAGTGCAGGCCAGCCCCCATTCACACACCGCTCTCGTTTTAGAAACAACCAAAGCCCTTTCGGGGAGACCTGTTGGCTCGTGCGTAGCCTGCGCTCACTCAGGTGGGTCTCTGTGCTGGCTTACACGAGCGTGGGTAGAAGGGGTTGCTGGACGTCTCCATCCAGCCTCCCCACAGATCAGGCTGGCTATGACTTTGTCTAGCTAAGTCTTCAAACCCCCCCAAGGAGGGCGATCCCCCACACCTCTGGTTACCTGTCCCAGCACTGCACCACTCTCCAGTGTAAGAAAATTTTCTTCATGCCTGAAGATCCCAAGCTTGAACATCCCAAGCGGCAACTTGTGGCCATCGACCTCTGTTACGTGACTATTGACTCATCCAGCCTGGTGTCTATCATAACTCCCAGGTCCTTCCCAGCAATACAACCCAGTGGAAAAGGGGGCACAGAGGAGCAATAATTCCCTTCCAGAAAGTACACAAGATCATTAGCTATCAGGATTTAGACTCAAGCAAGAGGAGTGTTTTCTGGGCAGAGCCACGTGCTGCAGGGTAACAGAGCGGTTGCCAGCAGGATCTGGTCTTGAATACGTCCTGCGGGGATTACCAGAGGCATATGGGAATTGCTTTCTGGATATGTGACTGTCACGCTGCTGAGTCCTCCACAGTCTGTTTTTCAGAAACCTCAGCCACCCAGTCCTCCTCCCAGAGCTTCTCAGATTTTTGTCCCGAAGGTCTGAGATGGGAGAACAAAGCAGAAAAAGTGGCAATGCCGTTTCTGCATTCCCAGCTCTGCCAGTGCGCAACTTCATCGTGTCACTGCAGTTTGCTGAAAACGCTGGGCAAATCTCCCTGACATCCAAATCACAGCCTAAGAAAAACCTAATAATTTTTCCATTGGAAAAAAATATTTATTTGGTTAACAAAAGCAGTGACAGATTTAATTCCACTTCAAAGAACAGCCAGGGGTGGATGGACTTTTTGGCAGCAGTGTCGCTATTTGCTGCTGCGAGATGTGGTTTCTGAGCTGCATCCTGTAGGATTTCTCATACCAAAGTAGCAGAAATTGCAAGCAGGTTGCCAGTTTTTCTCCAGGTACCAGGGGCAGTGAGGACCCTTAGTAAAAGCGCCACAAGAAATGAAAGATTTCATGACTACTGCCCAATTCAGATTAGAACCTGGCTGCCAAAACACAAAATATATCAGAGATTTTCTGTCATTGTGACTGGGAAATGTTTAAGAGAGCACATAACTACTCCAGAGGAAGGAGAATTACCAGCAATGTTCTCTTACCTCCACCTGAGCCACAGTTGGGAGAAAGTTGTCCATTGGAGCACGTACACATGTTTGGCCGTGAACAAAATCCGTCACCACAAGAATTCCTGCAAATTGCTGGAGGAAGAGGAGGACACAGCGATTAGCACAATGTGCTAGTCTGTGAACTTGCTCACAGATGTGTTTTTGGCTGCCAAAAGGGTGTGAATTCATCTCTTTTAAGAATAATAACCTGGGGCACCTCTTGAGGACCCTGGCGTGGGCAGTGCAACAGAGGGAAGGACCCACTTGTACACAGGGAGTTGCTGGAGACACCTTCCTTTTATCAGAGACTGTGGCTGGTCCTGCTACCACATTGCTTTTTCAGCAGCAGAGGATGGGGAAGGCACATTTCACTACTTTTGCCTGCTAAAAACGTTTCTCAGCAGCGACAAGTGACGTTCACACTGAGCCAGGTTGTTGTTTTCCTTAAAATTTTTGTGTTTCCATGAAGCATTTTGCAGTCCGTGATCTGGCACTGGGGAAACTGGCTGTTACTGAGATAGGAGATGCATCTCCTGTTGAATGAGGGGCTGAGCATGAGTCAGCCAGAGATGCATCAGCAGGATGCCTTCATATCAATCCCCATCCTTTCTTGCCTGGGACCCCTGCTAATCTCTTCCCCTTCCTGTGCCATGGGAGCTAAGAGCGTAGCTGGCAGTATTGTTCCACCTGTGTAAGCACAGATTTTATTAGAGCCCCATGAAAGTATCTCATCTCTGTGTGTTTTATAAATACAATTACAACACACAGTCCCCTGAGGACCTCCAGCCCAGATGGCATGTTTTACAGTTATGAGAAAAGTCAGCAGACAACCCCGAATGTCGCTAACCCCGCATGCCACTGAGCAGCTATTTGGCTGTGAGTTCCTTAACCCTTCGCTGCAGCCAGCATTAAACTCAAGCCTTATATCCTTGGTGGGGCATCCACTGTCCACGGGATTGTGAGTTTGCCTGTCTCTTCTCGTGGGGAAAGGAGAGGGCACAGAACTCCATGTCTTACCATCACCCGGGGTGAAGTCGGACGCATTTAACTCTTGAGTCATCACACCTCTTTATTGCCCTTCTTAGTGAGTAAAATGCCATACTCTGGCGCTGGTTACTCATTGTGCGCAAGGACACATCAACTGGCCCCATCGCTCATAATACAATAGACACCATTTCCTTTGAGAGGAGAATCTTTGCAGCTCTGGGCTCAGTTTTGTACATCTGAGGTCCCAGAGAGCTCTATATTAGGAAACACGAGGCGTTTCTCTCTAAGATGGCTGAGTTTTAGACTCTGAAGGTGGAATTACTTCTGAAATATGTGACCTGTATTATGTGGGAGATCCCCTAGAGGAGCCTATTGTTTTCCTCAACTTGAAACCTCCCACTGTCAATTATTTTCAGGAAGTTTTGGAAAAGGGCATTCACGTACAATTCCAAGTGTGCTCTAGTGCAGAAGATGTATGCAGAAAGCTAAAATACTGGGAGATACAAGCATCCCATAGTGCTGTCTGCTATTTTGTATGTCCAGGTTATGGTTGATATCTCCAGGACACCATGTATTTACTGTGTTTCAGTATGAAGCATGACCAAATGCAGGTACAATTACCCCTATTGTCTCCAATGAGAATCTCATTTATTTACTCCTGAGCTGACTTTCACTTCCCATGGGAGTGTCGTCCAAAGGGCAGGCTCCTACGTCTCCCCATAGCTTATGCCTTTAACCTACAGAAATGCAAAACATCAGCCCCTTACTGGCTTTTATAGGTGTATATCGGCACTTGATAATGCTCTACTCCAAATAGGAAAGCTACCTGCCAAAACAGAGGTGTGATTTATCTAAATCAGCATCCCGCTTTGGATGGCCACTCCAAGAAAGATGCAAATTCCTGCTTGTAGACACTGTCTCATGACATCATGTTTGCAACGTCAGCATCTAGCTGTTGTTCTAGCAACTAACCAAATTATTTCATCTAAACAAGCAGCTCTAAAATAACTTTCTCAGGAGTCGCCAATAGCTTTCCTTTGAGGCTAGTCTTCTAAAGCAGGCACACAAACTGTCAAGCAACAAGGAACACGGTGGCGACTTGGCAGACGATAAAAAGCCACGCACTGAATGGGACCAATTGCAACCACCCTGCTTTAATCAAGACTAGCAGAGATGAGAACTCCCAGCAATCGCTGCTGCTGTCCCAGTGGATTATGAAATGTTCTGTCATCTGCTGAAGTGTGAGATATGCATTCTTTCCCACATGGCAGTCAGTTCCCTTGGTGCCCTTAACAGGAAAATGGATACTCACGGACAATGCACTGGTTCCCTCCGGGCAGCGTTTTCCAGCCGGGGCAGCAGTAGGAGTGGAACCTCGAGCCACAGACATTGGGTCTGAAAATTAAAAAAAATTTTTTCCCTCTGTTTCCATGCGGTGCCATTGGATAAATTCAGCATGTATCAGCACTGTAGGAGAGCAGTTGAATAACCTCTTGTGTGACAGTTCTCTGCCAAACTCCATTCCCTCACTGTGAGTTTGAACAAGCCATGTTTAATTCCCACTAAAATGAGCCACCATACATTACTTTAATAACTGACTTCTGACCTCCCTGCACAGAATGCTTTGGGGCTCTGATCTTACAGTGACCCTCTTAGGACCATACGGAGGAGTGAGGAACTGAGGCACAGCCAGGTCTACCCTGACACGAAGCCAGGGCATGGGGCCATACCCACAAGGTTAGACACAGCCAGTTGGAGACCTGCATTTCCATGTGAGGAGAGAGACACCTAGATACCAGACAACCCTAGAGACCACAGGCAAGCGAATGTCTTGATAACCTGAACGGGAGGAGGACATCTGTCCCTTGTGAACGTAGCTTAGCAGTGCTGTTTATGCATAAGGTGGACAAAGTCGTGCTCTTTCCTGCTCCAACTTGTCCATCAGACAGGCTACCCGTGGTTTACTGTGTCTTCATCTGTTTGTTGGATGGTTGTCCCACAAACAATGTCACATAGCGAAGACAGCAGTACATACCAGACCCAGCCTGAGCACATATTTCAGCATGGCATTTACACCATGTTGTGCCATGCTACGCATCCGTACATGAACTAACAGACTTCCCAAGAAAAATTCCCCCCCAAAAAACATGAAAACCATACACCTATGTAATGTTCATACTCTTGTGACATTGTCAAGTGTGGAGTCATGAGAACGCAGCCCCTTGCAGTCATGCTGGGGCTCTAACACAGGATCAGACAGATGGGGGAAGGCAGTAGAGAGGTAAGCGTAGACGGAGAGTTTAGACCTTGCCTGGACCCTGGCCAGCAATCCTCCAACCTCTTCTTGGAGGTTTGCTGAGGGATTACATCTTTTCGAAAAGCATGAGAATTTGAACTAAAATCACCAGTGAAAGGGCATACACTTTGGAGTGTGTACACACTTTCTAGGGAGCAATAATCCCCACTGTTAAAATTCTAGGCTTTATTTTGGGGCCCGAGTCTATCTATCTTCTACTTTCAGCCATTGGATCTTGTTATATCTTTGCTTGCTGGATCGAAGAACCATTTGTTAACAAAGTCTCTTCACCCAGTAGACCTACGTAGGTTGTTACATCACCCTTTCATTTTCTCTTTGATAAGAGAAGGAAAATATCAGATTAGTTCGTCAGGATCTATTGTCCAAAGTTTCTATATCCTCATTCTAATTTTCACTAATTAAGTTTTACATCAACCACTTCAGCAGATTGCCTGGAGCTGGTGATAGTAACTATCATCATCATTGCACAGACAGGACGGGATTATGTGAATGAATCGGATTTGGCATTTTCTGCTATGCAGTTTGGGGTGTTTCTGAAACACAGGAGGTTCCACCTGAACATCAGGAAACACTTTTTCACTGTGAGGGTGAAAAAAAGTTGTTGTTCTGGAACAACAGGTGGCCCAGAGAGGCTGTAGATTCTCCATCCTCGGAGATATTCAAAAGCTGTCTGGACATGGTCCTGGGCAACCAGCTCTAGGTGGCCCTGCTTGAGCCAGCGGGGGTGGACCAGATGACTTCCAGAGGTCCCTTCCAACCTCAACCATTCTGTGATTCTGTAATTCTATGTTCACTGTAATTCATTTCATTGTGAAATACACCTCCACAACCATCAGCGTATCACAGCTACCTGTAGAAATAGCTCTAGCTACATGGTGCATGGGAGCAAACGTATGGATTTGGCAGACTGGAGCAACAACAGTATCTGATTTTTAAAAACTCCAAAAGCATTGGTTGATTTGTTTGGGGGGTTTTTTATTCTGAAAATCTGTTGATTCATCCCTCATCTTCAGCTAGATCGCAAATTAATTTCGTTTTCCAGGGAACAGTCTCTTATTTCCCTGTTATTCTGCCACCAGCAAGGAACATGCATAAGGCAGGTACTGTCTCAGCTTCCCTTCATTCCTTTAAAACGGCATCCCAACTATTGCCTGTGGCTGTGGAGAAACTGCTTTAACCATGGATGTTTCTAGTTCCCTCCCATGTCATGAAGTGCTTACTGCAGAACTTGTCCTGCTTGTCCTTCCTCAAAACCTGAGGTCTCTGTTATAGCAGGTGTGCCATTAGTCTGTTTTCCTGAATTTGCCTTTGTTTCTGCCTGCAGATTTTACCTGAGTGGTGGGGATTTTTTGAAGATTTTCTTCCTCTTGTTGCCATTCTCAAGTTCCTGCAGCGAGCCAGGAGTGGGAAGGCGGAGGGTGCTGGGACGGCTGCGCACCCTGGGCACAACAGCCAGTCTCAGCGGCACTCTGTAAGGCCCATCTACCAGATTCCAGTCTGGATTTTGGTGAGAACTCGTAGCGCTTTAGGGCAGCAGATTCCTTTTCTGGCTGGGAGAGGCTGGTGTTCGGAGAACACCCTGAATGGGTTACCCAAGACTCAATACAGGAGTTTTCCACCTTCAGCGTGATTGCAGTAGGGGCACAGGAGATACACAGAAGACATGCAGCAAAGATGAAGCATACATACAACATGCGTGCCGAAAACACACAGCAAACATGAAGCAGACACACAGCAGATGAGCCGCAGATATACAGAGGATGCGCAGCAGATGTAACAGAAACACAGTGCATGTACAGCAGTCGCACTGAAGACGTGCAGAGCACATCCAGCAAACACGCAGCAGAGGCAGAGCAGACACAAAACAGGGACACAGCAGAAGTGCTGCACATGTGCAGACATATACAGATGTGCAGCAGACATGCAGCAGACGCAGCAGACGTGCAGCAGACACGCAGCAGACAGGCTGCAGGGGTACCTTTCCAAAGTGGAAGAAATAGAATGCTTTCCCATGAAAAAAGGAATCAGGCAGTTTGCATTAATGACAAAAACACGGAGCTGGGCTGAGAGCAAACTCTAAGGAACCTTCTACTGAACGATGATGTTCCCATGTAAAAGCAATCTTAGCTTCTACTCTTCATGGTGACTAGAAGATCCCTGAGCAGCACAGGCCATGTTGAATGACTTTTTGTGCAATGAAGGGCATTGCTCTGCTGCCCAGTTGTAATTTTCCCAGAGCACACAATGACCTGCGTAGAAGCTGTGGCAACTGTTTTTCTGTATGTGCTGCATTTGCCCAGTGCTACGTGGAGCCTCCTTCACCAGCCCTGCAAACAGAGTCAAGGGCTCTGATAAGATAATTTGGTGCTATGGTTGGAGGTGGAGAGTAAATCCGTATTTTGATTTCAAAAGCGCCCACATTTTCCAAAAGCCTGGGCATCTGTTGCTTCTCTTGTGCCTAGAAGTTAAAAGGAGACCTTGAATGCAGAGCTGTTTCTGCTGGTATGGATTAAGGCTCCCTGCAGATGGGGGAACATCTTGGGTTGCAGCTCCTGGTTGCATTAGATTGGATAAAACACAAAGCTAGCTAGTACTGCCACTGATATTCAAGTGTAAATCTCCAGTTAGAAGTAGACATATGTCTGTGGTTGGCGTTAACTGGGAAGATAAATTCACTCTGAGCAGATGGAGGTCCTGTAAAACCTAAGTTCCAGCCCTCAGGTTCCCAGCATGCAGGATGGATGGATGGATGGATGATCTTTTTTTGGTATAGGACTCTCCATGCAGTATGTCGGCAGCCCAGACAACTCATAGCCAGGCACCAAATATTGCACTTTGACTTCCACCTGAATCTGTTTGCTGGTCCCCGCTTTCCAACACACGGATGTGAACAGCTATGCAAGGAAGGCAGCCATTAACCTTAGTACACTAATGATTTCCACACCCTGGCCTCAGGCTACTTCAAGTCTTGTTGAAGATTAAAGAATATTATGTAGTCATTTTATCAGGCAAAAGACTAAGAGGTTTTTTTTGTCAAAATCAGTGAAGGAAGAGGTATCTGGCATCAATCCCATAGACTAAGACAGAAGAAAGTGGAAGTTGAATGAAATTGATAGCGAAGTGGGTATTTTTAACTATGGTGGCAAGTACCACCTCTTTCTAAAAGACAGTCAGCCAAGGATTTCATCAAGCTCTGTGCAGGGATCCTGGGAGAGAGGTCCTGGGCACCCTGTTACACAGTAGGCTAAACTACAAGATCACAATTGTTTCTCCAAAACCGAACCTTTATAAGCATATGCTAAAAATTAGCAGAGTTTCAAAACAAAACATGGGGAGAATCTATTTTGAATGGGTTGAAATTAATGGTGTCACAGAAATGACCTAGGGGGAGAATGAAATTAGATTCCAAAGCAATAACTCAATAAGGAGAATGCTGTTTTTTAAGAAAAAAATAACATCTTTAGCAAAGTTGTGACAAAATTGCTTTTTAAAATTAATAGCAGTTATCTCGATCCTGGGAAATACAAGCTGGAAACCCATGTTCTCATCGGCAAGAAGGTGTGGATAAAAGGCATGTCATTTAGTTGTTAAACAGAAAACTACAATCACACTTTGTGGTGAAGAGCTCCTAAGAATGGGAAGCTCAAAGTTAGAGGAAAAATCATTTAAATTCAACAAACTTGCCCACAACATTCTGATCATTACTGATAATCAAAATCCACAGACACTTCAGAAATATCAAGAAACTTCATGACAATCAGTCCTAAATTAAAAATCAAGAGGTTTTTTTTACCCTACTCACTCTCAGCTTTGCCTCCTTGCTAGCCAGCGGTAGCAAGGGGGTCTTATCCAGACATGATGCTGTCCTGGAGACACACAGTTGTACTGCTGAGATGCTGCTAATGCCTGCGTGACTTTTCCTTTGGGCGTTAGAGCCAGGGAGATGAGAGCTGACATGTTTGCGCCAGTCCTTTCTAGCAATGCTTTCTGGCAAAGGACTGCACTGCTGGTCCACCCCCATGGTTCAGCTGATGTAAAAATAGACCCACCAGTATGAGGCAGATCTTCCCTTATCACC